AGGGAGGAAAAGAAAGGGGGGGCGCAAAATATGTTTACCAAACTCTCTTCTTTGTTTGCTTTAGATCCAGCGTATCATGAAAAAACAACATATGTAGAGATCAGAATAGCAGCTCCTGAAATGCCTTTTGTTCTGGGGGCTTTTTGGCTTCCCTGAAGTGAATCAGGAAATATTAATCTGTTTCCCTCCCAACACCTCCCACACAACTGGCTTTTCATGGGAAGTTGGGGAGGTGGACACAGACTCAAAACCAGGAAGGAGATGGGATGGGGTAGCTGATTTCCCACCTGATGAGGTTGTGGTCTTCCCTGCCCGCTCCCCACCAGTGACATTCACCTCTGGAGCAAGGCTTTAGCGAGTTCAAAAAGAGAGGCAGCTGGAAAAGGGATTACAAGCGAGAGGCTGGCCGCATCGCACTGATGTCTTTACCAAAGCTACTGTTGACAGGGATGCTCTTGGGACCACAGGAGACGAAGCAAAACCAATGTGAAAGGCAGTATTTTTGTGGGGCCAAGAGACAGGAATACCATGAAGAGGGTTCAAGGGGAAGATGAGGAGCAGTGAAAAGGTAGTTAGGACAGCCTCCTCCCCCCCAAAAGAAAAAAAAGAGTTATAATCACTGCTCTAAAAGAAAAATCAACCAGGGGCCTTACTTGAGACATTTGTGCTGCCATGGTCTGTGCTGAGGAAAAAGAAAACATTTTCCCATGGCTGTGCATCTCATTTTCCCTCAAAATCCAAACAATTTCTTAGCAAACATCCCAGCAGGAAAAATGAGAAAATACTTTCGACTTTCCCATCCTGTCTTACAGTCAAAAGATAATCAAAGACATTTCTTCATATTGCATAAATATAAAATACAGTTCTGCAGCTCAGATCCATCATGTCAAGCATTGCCAGCAGCAGGTATTTATGGCAGTCATAACTCCTTACTTTAAAAGGGTTTATATTTGTTCCACTAATAAACAATCATAATGATGCTATCAGGCACTGTTATAATTAGAAGACACTAGAGGTCAGTCATCCTTTCCGCTCTGCAAGTGCATTTCAATATGATTACAAACAGCAGCTGGATGTTAGCAGGGAGACAAGGATGAAAGGCAGCTATTTACATACTCAAGCACAAGGATGTCACCACAAGGCCTGACAGTCCTTCGGTCAAATTCCTAAGAGGATCCATCAGATTCCAAGGAGGACCCATCCTTGGCAGTTTGGGATGGGACTGACACAAGTCCTTCATGCACCTGGGCAACCGAAGCAGATGAAGCAATCAAAGCAGGTGAGAGCTACTCACGCTGGGCTTAAGAGCTGTGTTTGTTTAAAGGTAAACATGAGATCTTTGATATCACAGGCTCCTTGACCGTATCGGGGAGATGGCTACCCAGCTGCACTGCTCACTGCCTCACCTCGGGCAGAGGGAGCGACTTAGGTGCCAACAGGAAAAATTCTGCTGCTTCAGTGTGATACTCCCAAGTCTCCCATGACACCTCCAAATAAACTCAAGCCTGCACAGACTCGTAGAAGTACGACATACAGAGTCTGGGCAGCCACCCCCGCAGCCAGCACACGTCCAGTTCTCCTGCCTTCAAGGGATTTGCTCATCTAAGCATCCCCAGGACAAGGCAGTCCTGATGCGGCTCTGGCAGGGTCAATCCTAAGGAGGAGGGTGGCAGGTCTCCCTCCCACACACGCTGCCTTTCCCTTTCTGCTTCTTGGGCATCCCAAGGCTTAGTTCCACCACCCTGATCTTGTCCGTCCCATGGAGTTAACCTAAAGGGCTGCAGTCAGCTTCAGACGGAGAAAAACTGTAAGAAATCAGCGAGTTTCTTTTTCTAATTGGCAGCATATATATTATAACAATAACTTCACCAGCAGATGATCTTTTCCATCTGATGGTTGTTGCCTGCAGGATTAAATCCCCGCAGACTTTGCTTGGCAGGACTGAAAAGGAAAAAAATCATGCTCCAATAAAGTCATTGCAGTAACACACGATGCTTAGATGCCTAAGGAGGAAGGCTCGTTGTCTTCCTCCCATTTGCCTCCTACTGATGTGAGATCACATCTTTCCATGGGGAAGCACAGCAAAGCAGATTTAAAGTCATTTTGGTTCAACCCAGGCTGACTTTGGAGACAGGGCCTGTCATCCAGCTGAAGAGCAGGATTAAAGGCAGGAGTTTGCACGGAGCCAACGCTCCAATCCCATCGTTAGCCAGCTAATTAAGCCTGAACACATCTAACTCCAGACTGGCAAGGCACCAACGAAGGGAGGCAATCCCCTGGCCGTGTGGGGATACTCTGTGGTGCATAGGGCTGGGTTTTTCTGGGGATTCTCTGATGAGAAATTAGAGCCAGGATTCTTCCCAGATATTCGACAGCATGGATACAATTCTAAGAAAAAAAAAATGTGTTCACTGTATTTTCACTTTTACCAGCTGCTCTGATTGGCTTCCTGCCTTCTCCCTGCCAGGAATACCCTGACTCTTCTCAACACTCATGGATTATCTAGTTCCTTTGGGTGAACTCTCTCAAGATCCAGAGTTTACTCTTGCAGCCGATCCTCCCTGCCTCCATGAAGCTCCTCGGGCTGTGCCAGATGTCACAGAGCACAGCTGGGACTGAGTACACCCTCGGCCAGCGCGGGACCCACGGCTCCTAAAATTCGGCACGTACGGATTGAAATGCAACCTCATCGAGGCCAGAAGCAGCTTGGCCACCATGTTGCCACAGACCCGGTGGTAGGAGCAGAGACGGACTCTAAAACCACTCAGGGGCCTGAGTAACTCTTATGACAGCTTTTGACCAAAGAGGAACTCTTTGTTATAACTCTCGGAGGATATAAAGGCTCAGTTTGCAACCGAAGCCAAAGAGGATTTTCCCAGTGAAACCAAAGTCCATGAGTTTTACTTTAACCGTGATCAGGTCCGGTCTCCAGTGGACCAGGGAGCACTTGAGTTGAGATACAAGACCTGTAGCCTCTAGAAAGAAAAGAGATGATTTCATGCCCACAATACCAAAGAGGAACTCGCTTACACAACCAGCTTCCTATTGCTTGACGCATCGGTGGCTCTGAGCAAATCACTCTCTTCTCTGCCTTGGTTTCCCCAAACACAACCCTGGTGCTAACAGCCATTATCCCAGCAAAGAGGTTTTTGATTTACAGATGAGAAGGGGCATAGGAGGTGGTTGCTGGGTACTCAGTGCCTCTGTGAACAAGGAAATCACGCTGCAGAAGGCAGATACCACGTCACAGAACCTGGACTGTAATTAACACTTACTGTTACAAGGAATTCAACATGGGAAGGGAGCATAATTAAAGTAACAGTGAAAACCTGGTGAGAATGAATGCAAGAACTAACACCCACCCCTCACAGTGCTCTTCCTAAACACAAAGTAACAGGAATAAGTTCTTCGTGGAAAAAAAAAAACAACAACCAAAACAATGACCACATGGTGTGTTAGTGCATCTTTCAGAAAGGCAAAATGCCTTTGGTCTTTGGGTCCTTTTGCTCTAAAAAACAGAATCTCTACTTAATGATACTTTTTTTCCCCTTCATCTTGACCAGGGGAATAGAATCCACTGGCCCCTGAGGGATGGTGGCTCCTTGCCTCAGGCAGGAGGCTGAGGGACTGAGCAGCTCTCCCAGCTGGGACACAGCACAGACTTTGTACCTGCCTTGTGGGTAAGACTCACGAGAAGTCTTCAGTCTTCCATAACACCACCTCACCTACATCACCCAGGATGTCCTACACAACAGAACCATCCCACCCAGAGCATGTGGGGGATGAACAATTGACTCCTCGAGTTTAACCCTTGGCTGTCAAGCTGGAGCTGTGCACCAAGAGAAACAGGGATTTGTGCCTCCTGAAAAACACCTGTGGGTGCACCATTTTACCACACGCTTTGCCAGTGCTTGCTCTAACATGCCTACAAGCATCAGCTCAGCCATACCCTCCGGCCAGACCTAAATTGGGCTGACGTAGCACTAAAGAAAAGTATTCGCCAACCTGTTTCCATAGACGTAGCTCAAACACAGGTTTAGACAACCCCAAAGCAGTCGAGCAGAAACAAGTTTTACAAAACCTTGTTGTGAGCCTGTAAAAAAAAAGCCACCTCTGCATACAAACGGTCTGAACTTCAAGTAGGTCCTCACAGCCCTGGTGCTGCTAAATCCCCCGGGTGACATCCCGAATCCTGGCACCAAACTCCAGGAGCGCTGGGGGCATGGACTGACATCAACCCCCCCCAAAATCCAACACACCACACGCCACACGCTTTGCCAGTGCTTGCTCTAACACGCCTGCGAGCGTCAGCTCAGCCATACCCTCCGGCCAGACCTAAATTGGGCTGACGTAGCACTAAAGAAAAGTATTCGCCAACCTGTTTCCATAGACGTAGCTCAAACACAGGTTTAGACAACCCCAAAGCAGTCGAGCAGAAACAAGTTTTACAAAACCTTGTTGTGAGCCTGTAAAAAAAAAGCCACCTCTGCATACAAACGGTCTGAACTTCAAGTAGGTCCTCACAGCCCTGGTGCTGCTAAATCCCCCGGGTGACATCCCGAGTCCTGACACCAAACTCCAGGAGCGCTGGGGGCATGGACTGACATCAACCCCCCCCAAAATCCAACACACCACACGCTGCAGCCCCGAGGTGACCCCCTCTCCCGGGCTGGTGTGTGCCACTAACCCCGGATACCGTTCCGCCTGGGGAACCTGCAAATTTGGAGGGGGGGAAGCAAAAATAAGGACCCTGCCACGCTGCAGCCCCGAGGTGACCCCCTCTCCCACTAACCCCGGATAACACCCGGGGCTCCCCTCAATGCTCCGCCTGGGGAACCTGCAAATTTTTGGGGGGAAACAAAAATAAGGACCCTGCCCCAGACATCCCGTTTGGCACCGGGGGGAAGGCACCCGGAGAGACGGGGGGGAAACAAGGTCCCTGCTGCTGCCAGGAGGCACTGAAGGGTGAATAAAGGTTTTTAAATGCGGCTGTCACTTACTTATCCAGGACGAAGTAGAGATCAAAGGCACCGTGACAGGAGCGCTGCTCTTCTTGCTCATCCTCCTCCTCCTCGGGCCGGGCGCAGGAGGTGAAGCTCCCCACGGCCAGCAAGAAGCAGCACAAAAACGCTGCCTTCTCCACGCTGCTCCTGCAACTCGCCATCTTTTCCCTTCCTTAATTCTCCCTCCTCCTCCTCCTCCTCCTCCCCCCGTCCCTCTCCCTCTCTCTCTTACGGGCTCTTCGGAACCAGCGAGAGAAAAAACCATAAAAAATACAAGATGGGGAGGGGGGGAAAGAATAAAAATCGCTAAGTTGAGGATCAAATCAGCTCAGGGCACCCCCCCCCGCCGGGTCCCGCCGTGCTGGCCGCGGGCTGGGGGCTGAGCCCGGCCGGAGGGTCCCCGCAGCCCCGTCCCCATGCCCCGCCGCCCCGGCGGCTCAGCCCCGTCCCGCACCGGCGGCTCAAGCCCCGTCCCGC